CTTAATATAAAATTGTTAATTAGCCCTTTTTTTAATCTTTGCTTGGGATAAACATCAACGAACGTTATACTTACGCATGATCTATCTGATTATGACATGAATTGTGTTAAACACGTAATTAATTAAACAAATCGCATTCACTCTATGCTGCTGACATAAAGAATTAGAGAAAAGATTTCCTAAGCTAACAGGTGGTCTTCGCATAAGACACTGTTTAATTTGTGTTTAAGTTACGTATCTTAACGCTAATCAGTAATCAAACATAATTACCAAATTCACTATATTACATAAGGCGTAGCTAATATTTCACGTCATATTATAAGCCATTTCACGAACTTTAGGAATCTAATCCATTTTACATTTTATAAAAAACATAAAAGAGAAATTATTAATAATATATTCACATGATAAATATACAATTCTTATTAGCTATAACTTGGAAGTAGGGATGCATCTAGTGAATAAACTATGGGTTCATTAAGAATTTAGTAGCTTTAGTTATGACCAAGTATTTGTATTAAAAACTCATTACATAAGAATAATTATCAGATTTTGAACCCAATAAATTACATGAAATGGGGGTAGAATTTTGTATTCGAACTCATCAAATTTAAATCTTTAATCCGTATCTGAAAAATTAACAAATGATCGACGAAAACTATTGCAAATTACAAATGATTGATCAGATAATCAATTAATTATCAAAATAGGCAAGATCAAAATAGATCAAAGTTCATTTTTACCCCACTGTCGAAATTATGTACATTCGATAGCTACAAAAGTGTATAAAATTTATATATTTTTTGTATATAATATACATAAATAAATGAATCTCAAAGATATATATACACATACACAAAAAAAAATACAAAAATATAAAAATCTTTGACTATTATTTTGAGAGTGGCTATATCGACTCATCAAAATACCATAGACTCGTATAAAAACGGAAAAATCTCAAGAGTCGTTCGGTACGCGGGATAAGGTGTGATATTATCCCATCTTATCACATCAAACTTGGGATTATATTATCTCACCTCATAAATGAGATAAATTAGTCCAAGAATAATAATCCCAAGATTGTAATTCTGGAATAATTTCGTCCGCGTACCAAACGACCCCTCAAAGATTTACATAGGCAAGTCAGAATAGAAACAAAAACTAATCTTTAAGTCACACAAGTTCTAGAATAAATTGAAAACTTCTAAAATATTAAAAAGGAAAAGAAGGTAATCGCACGCAATCGGCAATTCTAGAAGAAAGCTGGGGATTCAAAACAATTTTTGCAATTAATATTTTCTTCTAGAAGAATTTATTGCTTACTCATGACACAAACACGTGCAACTTAAAAAGAAATTGTAACTATCTAATTAGCTATTATGGATTCAGAATAGAATTACGATTTGTAACTATCTAATTGACTCTTTTTCCTCCGTTTCTATTTCTTCTTTTTCGTTATTTTTTGCTCTTTCTCCCTTTCTATTATGTTTTTTCAATCATATTTTTTTTTCTTTTACCATAATTTGATTCCATACTCAATTTTGGCTCCTTTATTTTTATTTTGTTTCTTTCCTTTTGTTCATTTTTCTATATTTCTTGTTCCTTTTCTAATTTTATTTAACTCTTTTTTTCTTTTTTTTTCCCTACATAATCTAATCTCGTTCACTTTTTTTGTTCCCTTTCTTTATTCTTCTTTATTTTATACAGTAATAAAAGATAACTAATATAGTAAACATTCATTCATTATTTTTAATATAATAGATATAATATACCTTATGTCTTTTATCTCATTTTTTTCTCTAAATCAATTATTAGAATAACTTATACATTATACATGTTTTTTCTTCTCCTTTTTCATTGCATTTTTTCTTTTTTCTCCTTTCCTAATATTATTTTTAAATTATTTTTTCTGTATTTCCTATTTTTCCTCATAATCTATTTCTACACATCTTTTTGGCTCTTTATTTTTGTTCTTTTTTCTCTCTTTTTTTACTATATCATTTATATTATGATACCCATATGGTATAATGTGGAATTCCTTCCAAGATAACACTCAGTCACGATGATACCAATTTGGTATATAACATATGCTAACAGGATCTTATAGAGGACTGATTCATTCCTTCAACAAAAAATACTCGTCCGTACTCTATGATACCCATATGGTATATATTAGATGATGACAAGATAGAGTTCTGGTTAATTATTTCAAAAAAGAGCCTAGTCCTCTTTGATACCAAACTGATACACAAGTATACCATTTTTTGTATACAATATAAATTCTTCTACTACACGACCTCAACTTAATTTCAACCCAAATTTCACAACTCTACTGTAATATCTCCACCAAATTAGCTAAAAATTTTGCCACTGTCTCCATTCAGCATATCAAACTAAGAATTTTTGTTTAAGAAAAAAATTAAAAAAAAGGTGTGAATACTCTATTGAAACATTGAAAAAGGTTCTAATGAAAAAGATACCTACCTGGTATATATCATATACTAACCGGTATCATAGAGGACTAGTTCATTCATTTAACAGAAAAAATACTTGTCAATCCTCTATGATACCCAATGGTATATATCATTACTGACATGATATAGGTATGGTTCATTCCTTCAAAAGAGAGCTCAGTCCTCTACGATACCAAATCGATATACATGTATACTATTTTGGTATATAGTATAGATTCATCTTCTTCGCTAGTTCAACTCAATTTCAATCTAAATTTCACAACTATAGTGCAAGAAATCCACCAAATTGGCTCAACTTTAGGCACAACCTCCATTCAACATTTAAAAATAAATATTTTTGGTTTAATAAAATTTGAAAAAGGCATGAAAACTCCATTAAACATTTAAAAAGATTTCAATGAAAATTTCAATAAATTTAAAAAGGACCAAATTATAACGGAATAAAATTACACTATATTGTATATTATAAGAGTATACTATTGGAATAAATTGTATAAATTAAAAATTATGTACTAAAGTGGTATACATGTATACCATTTTGTTATACAGTACAAATCCATCTTCTCCGCTAGTTCAATTTAATTTTAACCCAAATTTCACAATTCTAATGCAAAATTTCCATCAAATTGGCTCAAGCTTTTGCTTCAACTTCTAATCAACATTTCAAAGAAACCCCAAGCAGAATCAGCTCAAAATAACTACAAATTCAACAAGCCACTACATGAGTTTTCAGCTTCAAGTTCCTTCAATTGTGCATTTGATTTTTTTTATAAATAACCTTTTAAAAATATCTACTTTGAATCAAACAACAAATCTTAAAGTTGAAATTTCAATTCAAAAGCTTCAAATTCAACAATGGTGGGTCTTTTACAAATTCAATCCCAAGCACCTTAAATCAACTCCAAATGAAACCAAATTTCCGTATGATTAATATCCTTTCTTTTACTATAGCATAGCATCTTACTTAAAAAAAACTCATTCGGGCTACGTGTATAAATGCTTAAGCTTAGACAATTCCCCGTGAGAATCCACAAAAAGGATATATTTTCATCATATATGTTAGGACAATAGTGATAACACCATAATGTCACGTCCTTAGTTGTTAACTAAGTACACGTGCGGCACTTGACAACTCGCTCACGATCTTGCACAACTTGCTCACGTTCTTGCTATGTCAAGTCAGCTTTACTACACTCAAGATCGCTAAGAGAATGAAAGAAAGAACACAAGAGAATTGTTAAAGGAAGCTTTGTATTAGAGAGAACTTGAATTATTTGCTTGATGAATTACAAATGAATGGCTCCCTTTATATATTAGTCTCCTAGGGGTTAGTATGTAAATATTAATTATTACACAAGTCCTTGATATTTACAAGATAAGGGCTTTTTCTAGAATTCTCTACAAGCCTAGAAGATTCCAAAGACTTCTCTAGCAAATCCATAAGATCTAGGTTCTTCCTTCCATACCTCTCTAGAATCTTCTCACAAATGCTAGCCTTGTTCTTATGTAAGCTTCCACATGGCATTAATATATGCCAAATGGCGCCTATGTGGAATGATGACATGGCGGGTCATCACACATTCCCCCACCCAATATTGCGACGACTGCGACGTAATGCTGCTGCATAAACTCTCGAATCTTATCTTTGTATTGCCACAAGTCTTCATATGGTTCCCACGTGGCCTCCTCCAGTGATTGCCCTTTCCAATGGACGAGAAACATAGCGGTGGCTTTTTGCCCTTGCTTTCGCCTGGCCTGGTAATCTATGATAGCCTCAATCTCTCGATCTTGCGAGGCGGTGATAGTCACTGGCGCCCGACTTGATTGGCCCATACTCGGATCATCCTTATCTTCATGATATGGCTTAAGCATGCTGGCATGTAAGACAGGGTAGATCTTAAGATACGATGGCATGTCAAGCTTGTATGAGATCTTGCCTACCTTGGCGACGATCTTAAATGGCCCCTCATACTTGTGAATCCGATTCTAATGCATGCCCCGTAGTGCCTTGAACTGTCTTGGGTTAAACTTCACCATGACCATGTCCCCAACTCTATAGTATGTGGGACGCCGCTTACGGTCCGCAAACTTCTTCATCTTCTTAGCTGCCTTATCCAAGTAGGACTTAGCAGTGTCAAGCTACTCCTCCCATCATTTGGCCATATGATAAGCCCCCAAACTCTTTCCCTCAAATGCGGCTGGTAATGAATGTGGAGTTTATGGTTGTTGGCCTGTGGCTAGATCAAATGGTGTCCGCCCAGTGGACTCACTCCGCTGCAAGTTATAAGAGAATTGGGCGATGTCTAGGAGCTTTGCCCAATCTTTCTGATGCACGCTTACATAATGCCTCAAGTAACATTCTAGTAAGGTATTGACTCGTTCTGTTTGTCCATCCGTCTGTGGGTGGAAACTAGTAGAAAAATGCAGTTCCATGCCAAGTATATCGAACAACTCTCTCCAAAAGTTTCCAGTGAAGCGGGGGTCTCGATCACTGATGATATGCCTTGGTAAGCCCCAATACTTTACCACGTTCTTAAAGAATAGCTTGGCGGCTTCCTTAGCTGTGCAACCCGGTGAGGCGGGCATGAAGGTGCCATATTTGGAAAATCTATCCACGACCAACATAATAGTACCATAACCGTCAGACTTCGGTAGGCAAGTGATAAAGTCTATAGTCACGCTCTCCCATGGACGCTCTGCAACTGGTAGTGACTCCAAAAGTCCTCCGGGTTGTTGTTGTTCAACCTTGTCCTGTTGACAGACAAGACAAGTTTGCACATAGCACTCTATGTCATCTCGTATGTGTGGCCAATAGTAGACTGACTCAACCAAGGCCCTAGTGTGACATTGACCCGGATGACCAACCCACATTGTGTCATGACTCTCCCTTATGATCCATCGTCTAATGTCTCCAAACTTAGGAATGTAGACCCGCCGACCTGTGGTAAGTTGGCCTTCTTCTATCCAAAACCGTCTCATCTTGCCTTTGTTAGCTAACTCGATAAGATGTCTGGCTGTTGGATCATGCTACATGCCTTCTTTTATAGCCTCCCGAATGTCCCATCTCACTGAAGTGATTGCAGCAAGCTTGGCTTTCTGGCTCAAGGCATCAGATACAACATTACCTTTTCCCGGCTTATACTCCAGCGCATAATCAAACTCGGCTAAGAAATCCTGCCACCTAGCCTGCTTTGGTGTGAGCTTATTCTGTATCTGAAAGTAGCTAGTAGCCACATTATCAGTCTTGACCACGAACCTCGACCCGAGCAGATAATGTCTCCAAGTACGAAGGCAATGTACAATGGCAGTCATTTCCTTCTCTTGTACCATGTAACGCCGCTCCGTCTAATTTAACTTGCGGCTCTTAAATGATATGGGATGCTTACCCTGCATCAAGGCACCCCCAATGGCGAAGTCTGAGGCATCTGTGTGCACCTCAAATGTCTTGGCAAAGTCAGGTAATGCCAAAACTGGCTCCTCTGTTACAGCTGCCTTAAGGCATTCAAATGCCTTTTGACAATGCTCCATCCAAACCCATGGCTTGTTCTTCTTTAGCAACTCAGTCAATGGTACGGCCTCTGCTGAGTATCCACTGATGAACCGACGATAGTAGTTAACAAGGCCAAGGAAGGATCTCAACTCAGTTACCTTTATGGGTGCCTCCCACTCCTGGATAGCATGTACCTTAGCCTCGTCCATGTGTAGTTTGCCATTGGTAATGACATGGCCCAAGAAGTGCACCTTTGATTGTGCAAACTCGCACTTATCTCTCTTGATGTATAGCTCATTCTCCCGCAAGACTTGGAAAACCTTCCTTAAGTGCTCCATGTGTTCCTCCAAGGTGTTGCTGTAGATGATTATTTCATCTAAGTAGACTACCACGAACTGATCAAGGTAGGGATGAAAAATCTTGTTCATAAGTGTGCAAAATGTGGCATGTGCATTGGTTAAGCCGAAAGGCATCATCAACCACTCAAAGTCTCCATATCTCGTCACACATGGTGTCTTTGACTCATCCCTTTCCGCAATGCGAACCTGGTAGTAGCCCTTTCGAAGATCCACCTTGGTAAAGTACTTGGCTTGCCCAAGTCTATAAAACAAGTTAGTAATGAGTGGGATAGGGTACTTATTCTTCACGGTGACCTTATTAAGTGCTCGGTAGTCTATGCACAAACGCAACGATCCATCCTTCTTCTGGAACAATACTGGTGCGCCAAAAAGGTGCCTTTGATGGGCGAATGTGACCAGCATCTAACAGCTCCTTCAATTGTTTCCTGAGCTCCTCTAGCTCGGGAGGTGCCATACGATATGGGGAAAATGCGGGTGTCTTAGCCCCTGGATCCAACTCAATCTTGTGATCCGCCTCTCGCCTGGGCGGCAAGTGCTTAGGCAACTCCTCGGGCATGACATCTTTGTTTTCCTTAAGCAACTTCTCTATGCAAGGCGGCACTGTCTCTTGAAAATTTTTGTCTTCCTCTAGACTTGCAATGGTTTCCACGAACGTCGGCTTCCCCTTCTTGATCCCCTTGACAACCTGCATAGCTGAGAGTTGTGCTTGGATTTGTCTGTATGGCATAATCACTATAGGTACCATGCAAGCTCCTTCTCGCTCCATAACCAAGAGACGTTGGAGGTAGGGGTCGATTAAAGTATGACAATGTTTAAAGAACTCTTGCCCCAGTATGATGTCAAAGATATCCATATCGGTTACGGTAAAGTTTTTCATACCTTCCCAAGTTCCCAATTTGACACCAACTCCATTAGCTACCCCACAGGCATTTTGTACTTTGGCATTCACGGTCTTGATGCGTGAGTTGGTTGGAGCAAACTTCAATTCTAGTCTCTTTGTGGCAGCCTCAGTCACAAAATTATGAGTTGCTCCAGTATCCACCATTGCACGAGCGGGCTTGTTGTTGATGGTGAGATCCACGTACTGATTGCCATTCTCGGTAGGTTGGATAGCTTGCTTCGTGGCAGCACCACATAATCCGATCAAACCCAATTGTGCGGTTCCCGGACTCTCTCCTTGTGGCTGCTCCTTCCGCTCACGTACTATGGCACTGAGGCTCTTGAGGTCAGGACAATTCCTGAAGCCACGTGGCCCTTTGTATATATAGCATCCCTTCTTCTCGACCTGCGCCTTCTTCTCGGCGTAGCCCTGACGATCACTCGACCTTTTGAAATCTTGAGTCTTGGAGTATTGTTGTTGTATCTCCTTGACTTTGCCATGGTCTCCCCCACCTTTGACATTGTTAACTTTTGACTCCTTGCCATTGCCTTCGTCGTGCTTGTCATGCCTGAAATCCATCAATGATTTGGCCTACACTATGGCTTGGTCTATATCAGTGACTTATCGATGTTGCAACTCTTGCTTAGCCCAATTTTGCAACTCGTCCATGAAGTGGAACAACAAGTCATCATTGGTCAGGTTGGGGATTTGAAGCATAAGTGTAGTGAACTCCTTGACATAGTTACGTATGCTCCCTTTTTTGCTTCAATTCCCTAAGCTTGCGCCTTGCCTCATACAAGACATTGTTTGGAAAGAACTGTCGCTTAAATTCCGTTTTGAACTGATCCCATGTGCTAATAGTACATAGTCCTTTATCCACGTCGGCCATCTTCCTTCTCCACCATAGCATGGCAGTCTCTGAGAGGTACAATACCGCAGTATTGATTTTGGCCTCGTCGTCCCTCACTTTGTCATGTATGAAGTAGTTCTCCAAATGCCAAAGGAAGTTTTCCACTTTTTGTGCATCACGAATACCTTTGAACACCGGGGGTTTGGGAGCCTCGATCTTGGCCTCCCTCGTCACTACAACATTGCTGACTACCTCGGTCACGCCAGCATTGACATGCTCCTCGAGTGACTCTATCTTTGCCTTCATAGCATCAATAGTACTCAAAGCCTCCATGAGTCTGCACTCTAAGGCAGTGATGGTTTGCCTTAGCTCCATCTCAGTCTGTGTATGTCCCTCCAAGTCATTTAGGATACTCTCAATCTCTTCAAGAGTGTGCCCCTCAAGAACATTAAGGGTGTCTTCCACCTTCCCCAAGCGTTGGCCAAAGATCTCCACGGCGTCCATCCTCGCGTTCATCTTTATCACCCACTCTTTACCGAGCTAGACGTCCTCTAGAAGGACCTCCACTTCATCCTCGCCTCAGTGGCAGATGGTTCTTGGGATGTAAGCCCTTCGTTTGACTCAGGTGGCACCTCTTGGCTCTTGTTGGTGGCATTCCTCTTTTTGCTACGGCCGCTCTTGCCAGCAACATCCTGGATGACGTTGGCTTGGGTGTTGGCAATGTTAATTTCTCTGTCGTTCGCCATTCCCTTAGTTGAAACCTTCGCTCTGATACCACGTTGTTACGTCTTTAGTTGTTAACTAAGTACATGTGCGGCACTTGACAACTCGCTCACGATCTTGCACAACTTGCTCACATTCTTGCTATGTCAAGTCAGCCTTACTACACTCAAGATCACTAAGTGAATGAAAGAAAGAACACAAGAGAATTGTTAAAGGAAGCTTTGTATTAGAGAGAACTTGAATTGTTTGTTTGATGAATTACAAATGAATGGCCCCCTTTATATACTAGTCTACTAGGGGCTAGTATGTAAATATTAATTATTACACAAGTCTTTGATATTTACAAGATAAAGGCTTTTTCTAGAATTCTCTACAAGCCTAGAAGATTCCAAGGATTTTCCTAGCAAATCCATAAAGATCTAGGTTCTTCCTGAAGAAATGTTTATATCTCTCTAGAATCTTCTCACAAATGCTGGCCTTCTTCTTACGTAAGCTTCCACATAGTATTAATATATACCAAATGGCATCTATGTGGTATGATTACATGGCGGGTCATCATAATAATCTTTATAAATAGTTGTACTAAATAATGAGTTAAACACATAAGTGAGAAATAGTGGAAGATGGTCACAGCAACAATGACGTCATGATTTGTGAATGCAACGCCTTGGCAGAAAATAAGTGAAGGAGCGGATAATTATTTTTAACCGTATGAGTAGTTTTTGTAATTAGTTTGAGGGTAAATAAGTAGTTTAGATTTTATGGATATTTTGTGTAGATTCCCCTTTTAAATTTGCCAATCAAGTTTTATAAACAAAAATTCAGTTAATTAGATATGAAAAGGGGTTGATGAAAATCAATTTCGATTCATCTATTGTTTACCATCTATGGTGAATAAAAATAGGCACCATTATAAATGTTATCAGGGGCGGAGCCACAGTACCTGCTACGTGTTTAGCTGAACTCAATAAATTTGGTTCAAACTTTGCATTTATTTTTAAAATTTCATTAATTTTGTACAAATATTATTTAGAACCTAATAATTTAAAATAATTAAAATTTTAAATTCTAAACTTAAAATGCTAGCTCGACTCTGTATGTTACAAGGAGGATTAGATAACATACTGTATCCTGATCAATGAATAAGACAACTTAGTTGTTTAATTCGTAACGTTTGAAGTAGAAGTACAGAGTCAATAAAATGTTAGCTTTTAAGTTTGTCTAATAAAGGGAAAAAGATCTTTGAAATTTCTCTACTATATATGATTGGCCTCTAGCCAATAGGGACTGAGAAATTTAACATAGTAGAATATTCTCTATTTTTAATGAACTTATCTAATGAAAGGAAGGAAAATTAGGGGTTGTTTGGTAGAATGCATTAGATAAAATAATGTATGCATTAGTTTTGTGTATTAATAATACCTTATTTGGTATATATTTTGGACATATGCATTAGTTATGCATGCATTAGTTATACATCATATTTGGTATTATCATATACATAATTAATGCATAGAAAATAATGGTATTAGCATTGCAATGAGTTTTAATGCATGCATTAGCTTAGTTAAAGACAAAATTGGCCTTCAAAATTTATGTTTGATTAAAATATGCTAGTTAATATATTAATGCAAGTATAAAATAATCCAAATAGTGAGAAATAAAATTATATCTCTAGTAAATAAATAAACAAATACTTAGCATATTTCTTTTTTTTATAAATAAATATTTGGTTCTATATTACAATATAGGTAGTCAAATCAAATAATTTTTCTAAAATTTTTTCATATAAAAACATTTCTCAACATATGTTTCTTTTAAAAAGTTAGAGTGATGGACTGGTTTTGAGGGCATTTTTGTAAACAAATAATTCTTTTAGAAATTGTGCAATGCTTTAATACATCAAACAAAACAATAGATAAGAAATATGTCAGCATAACTAATACCAACATTATTAATACACCCTATTCAGCATTATTCTTATGCACCCTACCAAACGACCCCTAAATGTACTCAATTAATACGGTAGAATGATTGAGATTGCTCTACCCGTTAACCTTGTGACACCCTTAATCAGTGATCTCAAATTTAAATTTTTGTAAGGAAATATCGTGAAAATAGTACGGTCTAGCTGGTTTTCGGACGGGTAATCGAAAAATAGCCTGCATTTGCAAAGTCATTAAAAAATATTTAATGTTTTGCTGAAACACGGAAAGCTCCAGCGTAATATGCTAGATTATAGAGCTCTTGCGTATAAATTTCCAGCATATTATTTTGGAACTCCAATACGAAAATATTTCAGCATAATATGCTGGATTATGGAGTTCCTACATTTAAACTTCTAGTGTATTATGTTGGAACTCCAGCACATTATAAAATTCTATCATATTATACTGGAATCTCATATGTAAAAAATTCGAACTTCAGCATATTATGCTGGAAATTTTCCGGATTTTAAGGGTGTTTTTGTTCAGATTATATCTTTACATGAAAAAGTGGTTAAATTTCGATTATTTTTAAAACTGTGACTATTTTTTATTTCTGAAATATCCTACATCCTTAATGCGTTTACTTTATGCGAAGTCCTATATTATTAGGCATGAGTGGCTCGACTATAAGGCCAGTAAACCAATCGTTTCGGGCCCCAACTTTTTGGAAATCCCATTTTTTCCTTAAAGATGTATTGTATATGTATTATTAAAAAAAATTAAATTTACAACAAATTTTGGAAACGAAAGTACAATAGCTTTAATGTGAGGATCATTGTAATATTTAGAGAATGAAATAACTTTTAATGAAGTGTTTCCTTACATGCATGAGTAGGATAACTATTTTTTTTTTCCTCATTAATATCCTAAGTCCTAACAACTAATACATGCATATATTATTATTTATATATTTACCTTTTTCATTCTCTCTTTTACTATTCTTATTTTCAATATTGAGGAGTCTCCCAATCGGCAACTTACCGCGGCTTACAAGTTGTCTTCTTCAAAGCAATACAACAAGCAATCATTTATTGAAGCAATGCATAGTTACTGCTCCATTTTAGATCACTTTATCATGACTTATTCGCTTTCGTTACTTTCATTTTCATATTGTG